ATGGCTTTTTTGTGTTCGTAAGAAGGTGGTGCTAATCTCTCTCTCTTCTACTTTCTATGTCTGTCAGTGTGTCTGTCTGTCTGTCTCTGTCTCTCTCTGCCTCTGCCTCTGCCTCTGCCTCTGCCTCTGCTCTGCTCTGCCTCTGGTCTCTCTCTCTCTCTGTCTCTGTCTCTGTCTCTGTCTCTGTCTCTGTCTCTGTCTCTGTCTCTCTCTCCACTCTCTCTCTCTCTCTCTCTCTCTCTCTCTCTCTCTCTCCTCTCTCTCTCTCTCTGTGTGTGTGGTGTGTGTGTGTGTGTGTGTGTGCGTGTGTGCGTGTGTGTGTGTTTCTCTTTCTTCCTTCCTTTCTTCGTTTTGTTAAGGAAGTGGTAACATGTTCGATAGATTGATTTTCAAAGCAAGATGCCTTCCTGACTTTACTGAAATAGTGAAGTATTTTGTTATCATTACAGATTTTTTATGGCCTTTATATTTGTAGAAGTACCTTTATCCGAGGCTATGATAAAGGTTTATATTTAAAGTATCTTCATTATTATGGTGCTATTCTGATTCATACTTTTATACTCTTCACATGGTATTTATTATGCAGGTGTGAATAGGCTAGTAAAAGGGAATTTCTTTAGCAAAATTTGCAACATTAACTAGTTAAAAGTAAAAAAAAATGTGATCTCAATAGTCACACGGACACATATAATAGAATGATGTATATACTTATAAGTTATACTTTTATTATACAATCACATAAGACATTGTTGGAAAGGTCCATTTGGAAGGACTCAAATATTTCAGGACTTTTTTTTCCCACAGTGAGCGGCTTCTCGAAAACGAATACTTACTTCCACGTGTGTGTGTGTGTGTGTGTGTGTGTGTGTGTGTGTGTGTGTGTGTGTGTGTGTGTGTGTGTGTGTGTGTGTGTGTGTGTGTGTGTGTGTGTGTGTGTGTGTGTGTCTGTGTGTGTGTCTGTCCTTTCTCAGTTTATTCACTTTCGTTCTTTATTTTGTTTGTTTCCCTCACGAGATCAAGCAAGCGGATTACGGGAAAATGTTCAGCGTTATGAGATTCTCTGTAAAGCTTCTGCTTGAAGCCTCAGGCACAGCCCGGTTTAAGGTTCAGGCGCATCCTTAAAAAGTCGAAATGTCTTAACTTTTTTTTTCTGAAATTTAAGGCCTTAAAAAGTCGTAAATACGGCTCTTTTTCTGTTGCAGGTCTTAAAATATTTTAAATTTACCCATGAAACATGTACATATATCTGTTACCGGCGGATTCATTCACTTCCGGATCTCTACGCGGCTTAACCGGAAATCATTCGTCAACAACATTAGACCTTGATCTTTGGTGATTGACGCGAACGCTTATTTGTGCAAAAATATCTCTGACGCACAGTCACATTTTAACAGATTTGAACACAGTGAGGCGGTGTTTTTTTTTTTTTTTTTTTTTCATCATGGTCACTGGTACGGCAAGTAGGCCTACACATTATGGGGAAATGTGTATTTAGCGACATGTGGCTCCAGGTCTCAAAGAGCAGTTGGCAAGTTTTAAAAAGTCTTAAAAAGGTCTTAAATTCCATTATGCCTGCATGAACCCTGCGTTAAAAGTTATACAGCTCTGATTCAGAATTGAGGTAAGATAAAGCAACACGCAATCAAATACCCATAAATAATCATGTTCTTTCTGTTACATAAAAGGAATAAACATTTATATATACTTTTTTGCGCATATCACATACATGTTTACGAGTTCATTCAATAGTTGTTTTGATGCTTTGTTAATAAAAAAAAAAAAATAATAATAAATAAATAAATCAAGGATCACATGGCAATAAGGAAGATCTTTCTGGATAAAATCGATGAATAATAATATAGGCTGCATTGGCGGCGCGAATTGAAAGGAGGAAATTGTTATTAATTGCGGCTTGTTTGGGGTGCTTTACACTTCGCTCGTTTGGCCCAAATTACGAATAGCTCAATTCCTACTTAATTTCTATTCAGAAAAGTTGTCTCATTTGGCACAAATTATGTAATAGCTGAATTCCTACTTAATTTCTATTCAGACTAGTTGCGTGATTGGCCTGCCTAGGAATGTTATTTCCGCAACTGATTATTAATAGAGGGTTATATATCAATAAAGGCTTATCGTTATCATTGAGTTATTAAATGCATCATCATAGATCGTTGCTCTTGAATGTCGTCATGCTCAGTGAGTGTCCTTGCAGGGTCGTTCCCTCCTGTCCTTTCCATCAACGACCTCTCATCACCCTGACCTCTCCATGGAGGACATCGCGAGAAAGATATTGAAAGCAGACAAGGTTGTGAGTGATCAAGGTCGGATTTAGATGAAGAGAAGCCCTCGGCTAATCCACTTGTGATCCCCCTCTCAGGCCCCCTTTCTCACGAGGAGAGGTAAGTGGAAGGGTGTTAGTTGAACAATTCGAGTAAAGCCAAGGGTGTTTCTTGTTTTTGCGACGTCTGTGTCGATTGTAACATGGGTAGGCTCTGCAGACGATCTCACAGAATTAGTCCCATTATAGTGAAGAAAAAAGTAAATATGAACTATTTCCTGTATGATATATAACTGGACATTTCATCTTAAAGAATCGTTTTTTACTGACAGTTATATTACAAAATAATTTTCAGATACTTGTACAGGTATGTCTACCTATCTCTCTATAAAGAAATCATTGTTAGAATTGAGTTATCAGTTCAAGACACCATGATTCTGAAATGTAGTGCAAGAAAAACTACTTAAGGGTTGTTTTGAGTCTACATTGCGGTATGACATGTGTAGAAAAAAAATGCATCCTTTTAAAGGCCCTCTAGATTTTGAGGCCCTAAGTTTCAGCCCGCTGAGCCTATAGGTAAATAAGGTGTTAGTGAAGCACACATTGGAGATGGCAAATTACCTATGTGATCCTCTTCAAACAAGCATGAATGGGTTGGCTGGTTAGCTCTAAAACGTCAATTAACGGGTTTGATGCAACATATATGGACGCTTTTGAGAGCCATATGATGATGTTCTGTCAGGACCTTCCCCTCCTGTCCCAAACATCACCTTGACCTCTCCGCTGACGGCATCGCAAGTTAGCGATTGACGGCAGATAATTCGTTCATAAAACGTCCACGTTGATAGGCCTGGCAGTATCCGAGGACCTCCGACCCCATTCCTTGCAGTGATACCAACCAAACAGCTTTTACTTATTCACAAAGATGGGAGGAAGCGTTCGATGTTTTCTTCCTTAATCGTAAACATCATTTTGTAGATGTAGACGCGGCAGATAATTTGATAATAACAAGGTTGTGGTGCCAGTTCTCGCACCATCGAAGCCCCTACGACCTATTTTTCCCCGGTACTGATCCAGCCAAACCCCTAAGTAGTGGGTAGGTCGGAAACGCTCTTTGTTTTTCTTCCTTATTCCTAAATTTTATTTACGAAGAGAATGAATAACGGTCCTTTTTTTTTTTTTTTTTTTTTTTTTTTTTTTCAAATTGGTAAAGAAATTCGGGAGGCTCAAAACGCTACATAAATTNCATGACTTCCTGCAGTTGCTTTACTTCTTCAAGCATAAAATATATGTATATGCATGCTAAGATGTATCTGGAGATATTCACATATTAACATGTCCCAATGCCATGCTCTCTTATATGGTTTATTCCTTATAAAAATCAGGTGAGAAAAATGGCTCAGGATGTGAATTAATGTGTGTATGATGTGTGTGTGTGTGTGTGTGTGTGTGTGTGTGTGTGAGTGTGTGTGTTGTGTGTGTGTGTGTGTGTGTTGTGTGTGTGTGTTGTGTGTGTGTGTGTGTTGGTATGTATGTGTGTGGGTATGTATGTGTGTGGGTATGTATGTGTGTGGGTATGTCTGTGTGTGGGTATGTCTGTGTGTGGGTATGTCTGTGTGTGGGTATGTCTGTGTGTGGTATGTCTGTATGTCTGTGTGGGTATGTCTGTGTGTGGGTATGTCTGTGTGTGGGTATGTCTGTGTGTGGGTATGTCTGTGTGGGTATGTCTGTGTGTGGGTATGTCTGTGTGTGTGGGTATGTCTGTGTGTGGGTATGTCTGTGTGTGGGTATGTCTGTGCTGGTATGTCTGTGTGTGGGTATGTCTGTGTGTTATGTCTGTGCGTTGGTATGTCTGTGTGTGGGTATGTCTGTGTGTGGTATGTCTGTGTGTGTGTGTCTGTGTGTGTGTGTGTATGTATGTGTGTGTGTGTTGTGTATGTATGTATGTATGTGTGTGTGTGTGTGTGTGTGGTGGTGTGTGTGTGTGTTGTGTTGTGTGTGTGTGTGTGTGTGTGTGTGTGTGTTGGTGTGTGTGTATGTGTTGTGTGTGTGTATGTGTTTGTGTGTGTGTATGTGTTTGTGTGTGTGTATGTGTTTGTGTGTGTTGTGTATGTGTTTGTGTGTGTGTGTATGTGTTTTGTGTGTGTGTGGTGTGTGTGTGTTGTTTGTGTGTGTTTGTGTGTGTGTGTCTGTGTCGGTCTGTGTCTGTGTAGGTCTGTGTCTGTGTAGGTCTGTGTCTGTGTAGGTCTGTGTCTGTGTAGGTCTGTGTATGTGTAGGTCTGTGTCTGTGTAGGTCTGTGTCTGTGAATGTTTGTGTATGTTCATGTCCGTTTGCGTATATGTATGAGTGTGTAAGTATGGCTGTGTATGTTTGTATCTGAAAAAGTAATATTATCTTGATTTCTCATTAACCCATAATTTATTGTAGGAAAAACTGGTAAGATTATCCCTCTAATTTTCATGCAAACTATATTCAGTATTCACCAAATGAATGCATTACAGAGAAAAACTAACCAAAATTTATAAGAATAATATATCAATTAATTTTGTGTTTCAGTTTCAACTATTTTAAAGCAGTTTTTTATCAACCAGTTTTGCCTGCCATAAAAATGCATATTCCTCAATCCTGACACAATGCCGAGTGCAGTGGATGAGTTAAAATCTCATCTGAATACTGAGAGCTTTATGGAATAACAAAAAAACATTCCGCATGCCACTACGGAAGAGGCCTGCAGTCCTACGTGTCGTACTCAGTCAGGAACGGGTCTTCTAGCAGCTGGGCAGCAGTTGCCCTCTTATTGGGGTCAGGCTCAAAGCAGCGAAGGATGAAGCTGCGCGCGCTTTTCACTCAGTTGTTCAGGGATGTCTGGGTGCATCTAATGTATAGTGGGGGGAAAAATGGGAAGGCGAGAGGGATAAAAAGGGGGTATGATTCAATCTTTTAGTGGCTAAATCCTGACTTTTTCCTTCTAGATGATACTACCATTTTAACTATGGCCTAATTCAGTTTAATAATAAAATATCATTAACATCTGAGTTTGCCAGATTAGATGGAATTTTACAATCTGTTATATTCTTACTCTTGGAATATGTAGGGATACATCACACCAACAACTGATTTCTCTTAAAGATCTTCCTACATACTCCCTTCAATATTTGCTTGCTACTCAACATCCTTTCTACAATCTTCCTTCATATTTCCTATTTATGTATATATCATGCATGTACATATTTAATGTACATCACTAATCAAAACTCTTGAACTGATAACTTACTTAACAACACAGAGACTTTGCTGGTACTATATTTTATATTCAGTCCTTACCTTAAACATGGCTGCCTCAGGAGAGCCAAGCTCTATGAAAGGAGGTTTCCCTGTTGCCATTTCCACAATTGTGCAGCCGAGTGACCAGATGTCAGCCTAAGATACAAGAACAAAATAATTACATAGTCATAGTCATACATAAATCCCTAATGAACCATCTTTTAATTCTATAAAAAAGGGAATAACACACATAATATACAGTATTTACAAGGTATATGAGGGGGGGGAGGAGTGATCAAAAATTTACTCAGCAGGCAGGTAGCACATATTTCTTAATACTAACTGGAGCTCCATATCCTCTGGCTCCCTTGTCAATGACTTCAGGAGCCATGTACTGTAAGGTGCCAGTGAAGGTCTCTGTGCTCAAGCACACTCCAGCTAGACGTTTTGAGGTACCAAAGTCTGAGATCTTGACAACTCCCGTGTAAGTATTGACTAGAACATTATCACCTGTAGAATAAAATGCTTGTTAGTGCAAGAAGTGAAATATCGCATATAAAAGAAAATTAATTATTATTTTCTTAGATAATATAAATATAAGTATGACACAGAGTATATGACAACACAAGCCACTTTTCCCTTTGATATCCCATACAGAAACATAACAGACCTCCAAAAAATCCTACTTTAATATCCCTATGAACTATTTTCTGATCATGCAGATACTTCAATCCTTCCAAGATCTGCTTTGTGTAGTAGGCAATAGTTGCCTCATTTTCCTTGAGGGGCCCCCACTTTGACCTAAGCAAAGCAGAGAGAGACCCTCCTGGAACCTGCTCCATGAAGATCTTGAAGAAACCATCCTCTGACACTGTCCCTAGGTACTGTACAATGTTACGGTGGCGGAGCTCCGAGTGGAGTTTGATTTCTTCATGCAGAGGCTGGACTTCCCTAAAGATATGAAAAAGACATTAACAAGCAATATATTAACAATAATAATAGTGATATATATGTAAACATTTACAATAACCAATTAATAACTATCAAACATTAGATGACGTAATAATAACCATCCTATCCATAGTGTGGGAGTAATTATAATTATAAAAAAACACAAAAATTAACTGCTCAAGCTTGAAATGATTACATAGCACTATGCAGGTATTGTAGGCACAAAAATATCAATAACTAAAATTGTTTTAACAAGAATAAAGCTAGTGATTGTTTTGAAAAGATATTTCTCTAGATATTTTTACTCACCCTATATTTTTCTCTGGGACTTCCTTCACAGCAATTCTGACTTGTGTGTTCAGATCTCTTGCTGCATACACTACACCATATGTACCTTTTCCTAGTATTAGGCGCTTTCCACTGTCTTCTAATTCATATTCATACTGTGGTAAAGGTAAGATTTTAATAAATTTTAAATTCTGTTCAGGCATTGAATAAAAATTAAGGACAATTCTATTATCAACATGAAAACAATGTGAAAATCAAGCTTATCAAAGAGCAGTTCCATATCAACACTATATTAGCATAAGACTTAAAAAAATATATAAAATAAAAAATAAATACATAAAAATAAAAAATAAAATAATATATATATAGATAATAAAAAGAGGATAAATACAAATAACAAATGAAATTTAACAAAAAAATCCAGAACACTTTCAACCTCTAAAAAATAGGTAAGAATACAACATCGAGGACAAGGTGAAGACCTGGTCACAAGGGCCGCCACACATACCTGAATGGGTCCAGAGGAGAATTCTGCTTCCAGGTCCATGACAGTCCCCTTCTGGTTGGCTGTCAGCTCCAACACCAATCGGAAGAAGATCTGTCTACACTGCTCTGATGGGAAGAACATCTGGAAGTCATCCGAGTTTTCTTGCACATATAGGAACACTGCACGCTCATCCCGTTTGTACAACCTGGAAGAATATAGAAATTGATAAAATTCCAATTTGCATTCTACAGGGGG